TATATTTCAAGCAAATTATTCAAAATGCATGCAGGGAGAGAAACTAAACAAAAAAGAAAAACAACACAATGAGAATTCAGAACTGACCTTGGGTCAAAATCATCAGCCTCATGGTCAGAATTGCAGTCCTCAAACATTGCGGAAGGTGGAAGCGAGTCGTCGTTATGGCTGGACCGGGGGGGTAGTAACCGAATCTCCTGCGTTATTGATTTTGACCAATCCAACAGTTGGCTCAGAGTTTTCTGTATCTGCGAAAGCTTGCACAGTATTTCATCAGCGGCTGCCACGGAAAATTGAGATATATCCCCCATGCTATTGGAATGCTTAAATGAATTTTAGGGTTTGGGGAGGCAGAAGGGGTTTTGGGTATGATACCAGAGTTTCCAACTCGCAGAAAATGCAACGTATGTAATTATATAATCACCTAATTAATCTTGCCTGAAATAGGAAAGTAATCATTGGCCTTCTTCTTCTTCTCAGTTTTCTTAGGATACTGCTCTTTTTTTACCAGTTGTTATAGGTTGGTCAATTTGTTGCTCATTAAGTCCGTGTGTTGTTTTTTGGTTAGAGTTGTGTATCATAGTTTTTTTGTTAGGAAAGTAATCTTGGTAATATTTTTCTTTTTATTGCACCTGTTATGAGCATTAAAATCAAATAATCTAATAGTTTTGAATCTTAAATTTTCAGGAGATGGAGGTTGATCGTGATTTAATTGACTACGATTACATCGATTATATTAAAAACCAATGGAGCGACAATAATTTAAAATACATTGTAATGGGTTCTCGTATTAGCTTTTACAATTTTCGTGTTGATTATGCTAGCGGGAAACAACTTTATGATGGTCAGCTGTTCTTGGAGGAAAATAAACACGGTGGAATACCTATGACATTTATGAATATGGATGCTGCTAGAACTAAATTAAGTGTCCAAAAAAAATTTAGGTTGAACATTAGGGTATGTAATAAAAGAATTCTCCCAATGTATACGTTTCGCAAACAAAAGGAATCATTGGGTGCCAGTGAGGCTGAAAATAATATGGTGGAGGAGAAGTTGAATGAGAGTACTAATTTCCAAGAGTTCAGGGACACTCTGAAGATATTGATGCGAACTAAAATTACATGGCTTGAGCAAATTAATTTCCAAGAGTTCAGACATAAGTTGGAGCCGTTTTTGCTTAAAATACTTTATTCTCGTAAGGGTAAACCATATGGTGATAGCCCGTCAAAGCTTTTAAGGTTCCTGCGAAACACCTATGTACATTATAGGCAATATAGTGAGAAGATGGAAGATATCCAGAAGGTGGACGCTATTTTCAGAACACACTGGGTTGGTTTTTTTTGATATATGATTCATCTTATCAACTAGATTGGAAGTGGATGAGGCATGTTGTACATGAATCTTGATCATAGCTTAGAACATCAATTTGTAGAGATACTTTAATGCGTCTAATTGTTTTTTTTTCTTTTCTTTTCTGTTTTTAGGGTCTTTTGACATGATATTATATGTATATATATATATATAATATAAGGCTAAATTATTGAAATGCCCCCTGTAATTCAATTTCAGTCTCAGTTTCCCCTTGAAACTCTAGGCCCTATTTGGTGCATGAAAAATGAGACTTGGGGATGAGAAATCAATTGCTTTCCCATGTTTGCTAAGTCCAGGCATGGGAAATCATTCCCTGGCCCATGGGAAAGTAGGGGGAAAGTGTAATTATCCTCCCAACTTGAGTTTTGTTTTCCCTCCTCATGGGAAAGTTTGGAAAAATGATCAAATATTAAACAAACATATTTCATGACCATGTTGTCCTCATTAACTATTTAGAATTATAATATATCATTAAATCCATTCTTCTTCTTCTTTTTTTATTTAGTATGGGTATAATTGAAAATTTATACAAACTTTGTTTTCCATTCCTACTCAAAACAAACATGGGAAATGAAATAAAGTGATATTTCCCGGTTACTTTCCCAGCATTACCAAACGTGGGAAAGGAATCTTCCATTCCCATTCCTTGGGGAATGACATGGAAAATGATTTCCCCTCAAATTCATTCCATGAACTAAACGGACCTTAGTTTTCTCACAACCAATGAGGCATAATAATATGAGCAATATAATATTTATTTGATTATATTTCTTTTCATGAAGACAACAAATTCAATAACCATCTTCTTCCCATCATTTGGGAAATTATTTCCCCTCAAATTCGTTCTGTGAACCAAACGGGGCTAAGTGTCTCACTTTCCTTTATGAAATCCTATATAGTGTCTCACTTTGCCTGGATTCCATCTAGCCCTAATAGAAGTCGTCAAAACTTGCACACGTGACGCCCATCTGCCATTTTTTTGGGTTCTTCTGTCCCTATAGACGTTTGTTGAGGCTCAAAAAAATCCAAGGCTGGACAAAAAGACCCCTACAACGTTGAAGTTGCAAAAAGGTAGGACCCACAATAGATGTACAACATCGACCATATCTTCAATTAGGGTAAAATCTTCGCACAAGTTTGGATATTTTAGGCGATTTCAAAATTTGAGTAAAGCAATAGAATCTTCAACAGTGAAGGTGTAAACTGAATTTGACAATGACAGAAGCAGGAGGACCGTCAGCTTTCACAGGTAAGTGGACCTTCAGATTCTTTATTTATTTCTGGCATATTGTATTTGGCTTTAAACTTTAAGGAATATTAAAAAGGGTGTTGTCTAAGTAGTGATGAGTACATTGCTTTATTAAGTTAGGCATAGATGATGCTTTTAATTGACTTTATGGCTTTTTATTGCTGCAAATGATTGGTTGACATAGTAAATTCAGGTTTTATGCTATATTTTGTGTTGTAGATGTGGAATTAGATTGGACAAGTGAGGAAGAAGAACAAACTAGGAGTGAGAGTGATGAGGATTTGGACGAAGACCCAGATTTTGTAGACATTGCCTATGCACAAAGTGAGGAGGATGTGAGATTGTTGAGGGATAATGATAATCAGTTTCAGGGATATGTAGACCATGATGCAAATGACAGAGACCCTAATGCAGGTGAAGAGGATGATGAGTCAAATAATAACCCTAGCTCACCTAGCATGTGTACACCAGAGCACTCTTCTTTAGAGTATGAGGTTGTGATTAGAAACTGCTTGAGAAAGAGGAAGCTCCCTAACTTTAAAGACTTCATCCCATCCATTGATATGAAAAATCCTCAATTTGAGCTCAGTTTAAGATTTTATAGTCGTGAAATCTTTAGGGTAGTTGTGAGGAGGCATTCTGTCCTAATTGGTAAAGAGCTTAAGTTTAAGGTGAATCTGTCCACGAGGTCTAAACTCGGCAGAGCTTCCCACAATGGCAATGCTTTCGTTGTCGACCCTCCATCACAACTTCAATTCAATTGTTAAAGGAGATCTTTAGGGTCACAATTGTTTGCAATATGGGACCAATTTTTGCAGAGTTAATTAATACCCATAAATTTTTATATGGACAAATGAACCAAGAAAAATGGCACATGGGAGCCACGTGTGCAAGACGGCTTCTGTTAGGGCTGGATGGAATCTAGGCAAAGTGAAACACTATATGGAGTTTCATAGGAGAAAGTGAGACATTTAGAGTTTCAGAGGGGAAATTAAGACTGAAATTGAGTTATAGGGAGTATTTCAATAATTTAGCCTAAAAATAAAGCAGTATTGCTTGCAATCAAGATATAATATTTTTTTCAAGTGGTTTAGAACAATGCTATCTCCAAGAAAGGTTTTGCGTCCTAGCATAATACTTTTTTCAATAACAAAAAATTAGGGTGTAATTTTACAATAATGTTAAAAAATATCAAAATTACACACAATGTCACTTTCTTTATATTTAAACAAATTTATTTGAAATGAATCAACTTATGCCACATGTCCATCGATCCACCTCCAACCAGCCACATGTCAACAAATATATAAACATAAAGTGGGTATATGCACATTTCTTTCTCATCATACGACGCTTTACTTGAAGTGCCATCACTATAACTCATGATGGGCAATATCATGATTACGCTAGTACTTAAAAAGAAGGTCCTTTGTTGTTTTTATTTAACATTTATATATGTCACAAAGTGCCAAACCTTCCGTCACATGGACATTTTCCTCCTCTTTCAAAATTGTTAGTTGTTGTCCACTAAAAAAGGCTACTATCCTGAACAGTGTCTATATAAATCCAAGGATTTGATCAACATATGTTCGTACTTTGCTTGTTTTTGCTTAAGACTATAGAACAAGTGTCGGATGGACGGGGAACAATTGTAATCAATAAGACAATATGAATATCGTCTTTTGGATAATATCAATGCATAAAGCATCTTTTTTAGCTTTATCATTTGAAATGATTCATTTCTACACATATAAGAGTGTTTTTTTCAGTTAAAAAAGACACTATAATCTACAATGAATGGTGATTTCTTACACACACACAACTATAATGCTATGGGGATTCGAACTTGAGACTCCTGATTTACAAATCAATGCCCTTTTTTACTGGGCTACCCGTTGACCAACACATAAATAAGGGTTTATTTAATCGTCTAACCAAGAGATATAATTTTATTTATTTATTTATATATGTTTAATATAAGCGATAATGATAAACGATGATTCGAATACTAAATCTTAATTATACATTACTCTTAATCACTTGAGCTACAACGCCTTGCATTTAATTTAATTTAATTTATTTATTTATTTATTAACGTTTATGACAAGGAAATCGAAACGCATCAAATGAACAAAATAAGAAGACGGTATAAAATGACAAAAGAAAAAACAGATTAAATGACCAAAAAAGGGAAGAAGAAGAAAGAGAACCAAAAGAAGACAAAAAATGTGAAGGGGTAAAAAGTGGAATATGACCTTTTGTGAAACAGTTGCGTTTGCAGGAAGATAATTCGAGCGCTCAGCAACGGCCCCAAACGGCCAAGACGTGTAATTAAACAAGAAAAAGAAAAGAAAAGCCCAAATCCCAAAATAATTATAATAAAAAAAACCGATAACGATAAATTGAAAGCAGAGAGAGGGTCGCTGTGCGCTGGCCTACAAAGGCTTTGAATGCTCGCTGGCTTTCGTTTTCAGTCTGCAAATCTTGTGGAGGCAAAAGCCACAAACCACAACGCTAGCTAGCCAGAGTGATGAGCCCGAGAGAGCCACATTTAAAGCCACAAACAAACACACCCACCTACACTACTATGAGTGGGAGAGAATAGGAAAAAGGGAAAAATATAATTCGAATTTAATCGTTTAAATAAAGATCGCACAAGCTTCGGTTTCTTCGTTTCGTCTTTGCAACTCTTCGTCTTTTCTTCGTTTCTTTTTCTCTCCGATCCCTAATTCGCCCACCTTCTCCGTCTCCAATTTCTCTGGTAATGCTATTTCCTTTGTCGCGCGCGCTTTGATCGTTTCGAATTTTGTTGGATCATTTTTTGTTGAATTTTCCTTTTTGATTGGGTTTTAGGGAGATTGTGTTTGGAATCCAGGAAAATGGGGTTGATTTCGGGGATTCTGATGGGGATGGTCTTCGGGATTGCATTGATGGCCGGGTGGCTTCACATGATGAGGTACCGAAGCACCAAGCGAGTCGCTAAGGTATGGTTATGGTTTTTGCTTAATTTTTTTTTAACGGTTATTTTGTTTTCGTTGGCGATTTGATTGCATTCATTCTTTGTTCTTGTTGTTGCTTACGTTGGAGAATTGAATTGTTGTGTGAAAACTGGGAGAGTAATTTTCTTGTAACTCTGGTGGAAATGGCTGAAGTAGAGTTAATTTTTGGGTGGTATGGTGCTCTGGAGATTTACATTGTCCACTTTTGCTCTGAAATTGTTGGGATATGGAAGTCAGATGCATAGGAAAAAGAACAACAATCTTTGACGAAATTTCTTTGAGATTGGTATATGATTTTGCTAATTAGTGGAATAAAAATGGTTGGACAATTGACTAGTGAGTTGCAAAAGTTAAACAAGTATTAGACGGTGAAGTTCGTATTGGACTGAGAAACTGATTAAGATTGAACTGCTTTTCTGAGACTTCAACACTTTGCTTATCATTGTCTAAAGAACGACCACCACACAAAGTCGGGTGGGCATGTTCACTAGTTTTCCCTGCAAGTGGATAAGTTGAACACATATGGTTGCTTGGAAGTGGAATTATTTCTTGGGAAGAATAGCAAGTTGTCAGAGTACCAGTAGACAGATTTTATATTTTATATTTTATAAAGGAGTACCAGTAGGCAACTTAGCGTGGGGATTGAAGGAAAAACAAATCATATATTTGGTAATGGAGTTTGATTTGTGGGTAACTAATTGTGTGTCTACTGAAAAATACTCAGTTGGACTGTCATCCTTGAGAGACGTAAGTTTTGTGGGGACTTCATACTGAACCTTTAACCTTTGGCATCATCTTTCTTTCCTAGTCTTAAAGGGGTAGGGGTGGAGTTGGGATGGTTCAATTTTAGAATGTTATGAAGAAATTGAAATAGATCCTTCTATGCACGCATTCCTCGTAAGCCACTTATAAGCTTTGCACTTTTAACCTTCAATATGAAGATGCATTTGGAGACCAATAATTTATTTTTCTTATGTTTATGCGTGCGTGTTGTGTACATAAAACTAATTGCTTGTTTAGTCCGATGCATAAGCTGATGAATAGGTTGCTCATTTTTCAGTGATAAACCTGATATATAATCTTTTTATACTGCTATTTTCATGAAATGGGCCATTAGTAGTTGGAACTAGAGTCATCTTATTATGCTTACCTGGTCACACGATCATATTTCTCTTCTTTTTATTCTCACATTCATCATACATCTGGATTGAGTTCTTAATTTTTTTCAGAATTATTATATTCATATTTGGTTATGGCAATTTTGGCACTGTACCCCACATGGATTCACTTACTAAAGTTCTTCGTTTCTTTTTTCTTTTCTGCATTGGCAATAGTAATATAGGTCTTGTAGTTGTAATACTTGAAACGTTTTAAAGAAACTTTGGACTATTTGGATGTGTTTCAGTCTTTTCTTATGAAATATTTTACCTTGTCTTAATATTTACTCTCTTTTTTTTCCATTCGCAGGCAGTTGACATAAAACTCCTTGGATCACTAAACAGAGATGATTTGAAGAAAATATGCGGGGACAATTTTCCTGAATGGATATCTTTCCCCGTCTTTGAACAGGTTTTCTTTTTGTAATTTATATTAAGTTACTATTCTTACTAATTATTCAGTTTTCCAATAGTACCGCTTCAGTTATCATTTATAATTGTATTACTTTGGTTCACTCTTTCAGGTGAAATGGTTGAATAAGCAACTGACCAAATTGTGGCCATATGTTGCAGATGTAAGATTTTATTTGCATATACACGTGCATAAGATTAATGGTAATGCATTTGCACGATTTTTTAAAACACTTGCGGCTGTTGCATGTATTTATTCAGGCTGCAGAAATGGTGATAAAAGATTCTGTTGAGCCACTATTGGAAGCATACCGACCTCCTGGAATTACTTCATTGAAGTTCAGCAAACTATCTCTTGGTACTGTGGCACCCAAAATTGAAGGTACGTAGTTATACGGTGATTACGCATAATATGGAAATTCGTTTATTTTCCAATCTTTCTAAATGAGCATTATGAATATCTTCCAAGTCTTGTGTGATTAACTTGTACAGGTATTCGTGTTCAAAGCCTCAAGAAAGGTCAAATTACAATGGACATTGATTTTCGTTGGGGTGGTGATCCAAACATCGTATTAGGTGTTGAAGCTGCACTCGTTGCCTCAATTCCCATTCAGGTCTGATTTATCAACAATTTGGATGACATACTTCTGAAGAAACTTTTCTTTGGTTTTGGACTCTTTTTTTTTTCAACAATAAATCTTTGTTTTCCCCCTTTTTTGCAATATCAAATCTTGGCATAAGTTTTAGTCTTATGAGTTTTGTGTTATATCTGCTACAGCTTAAGGATCTTCAAGTTTTTACTGTTGTTCGTGTAATTTTCCAACTTGCTGAAGAGATCCCTTGTGTATCTGCAGTTGTTGTTGCTCTACTTGCAGAGGTAAATTAATGATTAGTTTGTGAAGTCCATACATTTGTCGAAGTGGTTAAAAGCGAACCTCATTGATGTTAGCTTGATATAAAGTGTTGGCCCATTCCATAAAAACTTAACTTTTGGGGTCTTGTTGCTGGACAAAGACTTCTTTATTTCTTTCTCTTCCATGATTGATTTTTTTTTCCCTCTTCATTTTTCTATGTATGGCTTGTGTACAGTAGCACCAAGTTGGTGCTTTTCTAGTAAAGTCTTTATGCATAAAAAATGATTGATTTCTTTTTTCCTCTTCATCTAGAGATATTTGTTGAAAGTATCAGACGTTGGATGGAGAGTTTCTCTATAAAGTTAAATTTTTGTTTTTCTTTGGTTTATTTTCTGATGCCTTGTTCACTGAAATGTGATTTTCTTGGAGTTTAGTCATTCCGCCTCAAAGCACATGTGTGGATGCAACATTGTTAATAGATCTCATGCTATATGGAAATTTTATATTGAAACCTTTTCATTAATTTGGTTAACAACTTTTTTAAGACTCAGAAAAAGCTTTTTCACATTGACCCTTTAGTTGTAAAGCAAATCAGTTCGCCCAAGTTTTGGTTAAGAGACCATTCTGATCAAATTTTATTTTATTTTATTTTCTGTTCATTTGAACTCGTCTTATACTATCTGAGCCATCCATCCAAGCGTAATTTGTAATTACCAATTTGGTTCATCTGTGTTGTCTTAAGTCCATTCATCATCTTATAATATGGTTGATTACAAATATTGAACAGTGATACAAGTTTATGAAGGATCGTTATGTTGGTGAATGTATGCCCCCTATCTAAAACAATGCATTTATGAGAGACAGCAAGCTAGTGTTATCTCAGTATCTTTCTTTTTTCAATACCTACACTCCCGTGTTAGATAAAATGAAAAGGCAGTTAAGAAGAATGTGGAGTGAGGTGGGCTCGTAGTTCATACTCTAGCATCTTCTTCTTTTTCTGCTGATCCTAGTTTAGCCTCAAGTTATCATATCTTGGAGAGAGACTGGAATGTTTTATAATTATGTAATGAACATATTTACACTTTTCCAATTCGTTTGTAAATTGACTAATTCTTGTTACATCCAATCAGCCGAAGCCTAGAATTGATTATACTCTGAAGGCTGTTGGCGGAAGCTTGACAGCCCTCCCTGGAATTTCAGATATGATTGATGTAAGTTTCATGATTTTTATTAAAAGTTATTATCTTTTGGAGTTGTTTGTACATTTCTAGATTCATTATGCTGTTCACAACACATTTGCTAGGATACTGTGGAATCAATTGTCACAGACATGCTCCAGTGGCCGCATAGAATTGTTGTTCCAATTGGTGGTGTGCCTGTTGACACAAGGTAATTTTGAAATTGTTTTTGTTGTTGTGCTCTTCTTCTTAGTATAATCGTTGGTGTAACCTGATATTGTCGTATCTCAGAAAATTCATAAAATCTAGTTCTACACTGATGGGGGGATTTTCCCCTTTCACCTATTGACTGCAAGATAGAATGCATGAGATTGTTCAGTAGCTCTTTTAGTTATACAAGAGTGTTAGGAATTACCACTGCTCTGAAAACCGGACTTGGCTGGTTGAGTAAACTGGGTTAAACTAGAAATTGGCTGGGTTGCCAAGAACCAATCAATTTATTTGTGAGTCGATTGACCTAATCAAGAACTTGACCAATTCAATTAGAGTTTACCTTTACATTAAAAAACTTTTGTTTATGGTCACATAGGTCTTAACCCAGGCTTTATTTGTTCTCTAATTTTAATGCACATTTCTCTCTCTCTCTCTCTCTCTCTCTCTCTCTCTCTCTACTATAATGGAAACAGTGAAAAAAAAGTAATAATTTGTTTTTGAGAAACCTAAATATTTAATATTTGGAGACAAAGTCCAATTAACATTGCAGAAACAAATTTTTTTAATCCAAAATTGCTTACTTGGCAATAAAAGTATGATATTTCAAAATCTTCTTTTATTTTACAAGTATTTATAAAACACAATAAATGTTTATAATTATATTTGATCGTCTACTTTAATACTAAAAAGATAATAAACATATAGATATACATATTTGTATGCTTACGGCATCATCACAGTTCAACCATTGTTGAACCTCTGACCCTTAAGCTTTCCCCTCTGGTTGATTGCCAATCTGGTTTTATAATATCTTGGTAATCACTTTTATTTTTTACTTTAAGGGTTTGTATCTATAACACTTCTTTTTCGGGGCTATGCAGCGAATTGGAGCTTAAACCTCAAGGAAAGCTCACCTTGACAGTAGTGAGAGCAAATGACTTAAAGAACATGGAAATGATTGGAAAATCCGACCCTTACGTTGTTGTCTACATTCGTCCATTATTCAAGGTTAAGACTAAGGTCATTGATAACAATCTGAATCCTGTTTGGGATCAAACGTTCGAGTTGATTGCAGAAGACAAGGAGACTCAATCACTTATTCTTGAGGTTATACCACTATCACTCATCCTTTCTTTATCGCTCGTGCCTTGATTTTTCTGCTTCTTTACTGTTTCTGAACATGGTAATTGGCTTGTATAGATCTTCTTGGATCTAGCATGTTTATAATGAATTTAAAATGTTATCGGAGTGGTGGTATTTTATGCAGCTAGACTTGTGTCGAAGAGTGCAATACTAGGTTGTATGAAATTTGTCCCAATTTCACTGTATAAATCATGAAAGTGTGCTTTAGCAAACCAAAAAATATATATATATAAAAATTGTGAAAGTGTATTTAAGAAAACCAACATGTGTTGGCTCTCGTAATTGGAGGTATACTTTGTGTATATATACTTATCTATTTTCATATGCATGGAATTGAATATCCTTGCTGATTTTAATAGTGTACATGCTTAATAGATCCACATATGAAATGTACATGCGTACTTGAAAGCATAGAAGTTCTGAATCATTAATCCCGACAATGGACTGCAGGCCAATTTTTGAAACCAAGATCCCTAATCAGAACTTTTCATTTTATTTAGGACTGTGGTATTGTGGATATGTTATGAGTAAACTCGAATAAATCTTTTCTTAGCATGGAAATGAAAACACAGACTAATGTTCATCAGATTTTCTAACAGGTTTTTGATAAGGACATCGGGCAAGACAAGCGATTGGGAGTGACAAAATTACCTTTGATTGACCTGGAAGCAGAAACTGTGAAAGAGCTTGAACTGAGATTGCAGCCATCACTTAACATGCTAAAAATAAAAGAAAAGAAGGATAGAGGAACTATTACAATCAAGGTAAGGGTTCAAAACATGAACCCTTCAGATGTGCTTCAAATACATTAAACCTAACTTGCCTTTCATTTGTTGTTCTTTTTTCTAATAATGCCGTTAGAGGAGGTTTCAGTTATTACTCCTTTTTCCTCTAAAGATGTTTTGAAGTATTTTGGGTTATATTTTCAGGTCTTTTACCATGAATTTAACAAGGAAGAGCAGTTGATTTCTTTAGAGGAAGAGAAGAGGATCTTAGAAGAAAGAAAGCAACTGAAAGAAGCAGGAGTTATAGGCAGCACAATGGATGCACTTGATGGAGCAGCTTCAGTGGTTGGATCTGGTGTTGGATTGGTGGGTACTGGCCTTGGTGCTGGTGCTGGGCTCGTGGGAAGTGGCGTTACCGCTGGAGCTGGGCTTGTGGGAAGTGGCGTTACTGCTGGAGCTGGGCTTGTGGGGACTGGCGTTAATTCTGGGGTTGGAATGGTCGGGAGTGGCCTCGGAGCTGTTGGTAGTGGCCTGAGCAAAGCCGGGAAGTTCATGGGTAGGACCATCACTGGGCAATCGAGTCATTCAAGGAGAAGAAGTGGGTCTACAACTCCAGTGGGTAGTGTCCAAGAAAATGGTGGTGCAAAGCCACGGTAATGTGCCTTGTGAATTGTAGGCTTTAATGAATAGATATACTCGCCTTGCTTCTATTTCGACACTCTTCTTAAATTCTTTTCTTTGTTCTAATTTTGAAAATGATAATAGGTATTGGTTTATTTCCACCTCTTTCCTCTGTGTATCATCCCCATCCTGTATTCTTGTTTGTCTTTCGACCTTACTGGAATTTGTAATAAAATCTTGAATATTTGTACAAATTTATCATTTGGCTGTTTGAGCAATTTAGGGCCAGCTAGGGTGCTTGCCTTGTTTGCTGCTGTCAAAAAATAATGCAAAGCTTTTGGCACTTTGACGTACTGTGCCTCTCACGTGATACTCACAGGACAGGAATGGCCAAAAGTAATAATAGGTAAAAGGGTGCATTAATTAATTAATTATTTTAGTTTTTAACCACCATAGGCATAAATTCACATGGACATTATTGGCAGACTGGCGGGCAGTACAGAGTACAGGTCATCTAGTCCATGACTTGCGTGAAGTGTATGGCAGTGTACAGTCCTATATATATATATATACACACACACACACAACAGGTGGCAAACAAGGTTAGCTCTTATTATTTATACTGCACCTTCTTTAATCTGCTGCTCCAGCCTCGTGACCTTGTTGTACAGCCCTACTCTCAAGTCCTCGTGAATTTGTTTAATTTTAACCAGGATTACATAAAAATGCAAACACTCGGCAAACATTTGTACCCAAATGACCAGTAAGCTTTTAGCTGTCTACTTACCAAAATCAGGAATAGTTCTTGGGCGAGGCTGCCTCACATGTATCCCTTTCTGTCGTCAACAATGTGATCTTATAGCGTAAACTCGTGTGCCTACAGTTACGACATACCTACACAAGAATTAAGGTAATTCAAACACGTAGACTTTAATGCAGAAATAACTACTCTTAATCACTTAAAAACTTTCCAACGACATTTGTAAAACATTATAAAAAATAAATAAATAAACAATATTAGAATAAAGTAATAATAAGTAAAAGAGGAGGAAGCTTGGCAATGAAAACACGTGACACGTGGTACATATCTTGAAAAATCCTGAAGAGAATATATTCACGTTGAAGTGTGAAATAAAAATATCACAAGTTCCTTCCTTGATATAAGGTCCCGAATTCTTGAACACAACGGTTTTAAAAGCCAACAATCTAAATTCTAAAATATAATGAAAATCTTAAAAGACCCCCACAAATTTAATAATTAGTTTATAATAATATTGTTTTGTTTGAGATCATCATCACCCCACAAACGGCGTCGTCGGAACCACAGTGGTCTGGGAAATATCGCTCTGTCTTTCTCTCACGGGGGGGTCAGGCACCCCCGGCAAGCGTGGGTTCGACTTTTCTGAGAAAATATAAAATAATGAATAATCTGACCGTATAAATAAATGTGTGGGGCTCACTCGATCTCAGTCTCTCGCTCGTCACTACCTGCATCAACTTTGTGCTTTGTTTTTCTTTTGACCTCTTCCTCTATATCGTAAGCTGCAAAGTCTACGGTCAGATTCCCTTTACGAAGTTGCGAAAGTCAAAATCATAATTACTAAATTACCCCCGGATATTTTCCAGATTTTTTTTTCAAAAAAATACAAGCGATATTCTAAACTACAAAAGAGAGTGGTTTCTCACACATGTTACCAAGATGTTATGAGAATTCATACATAAAACTACTAATCTACAAGTCAATGTCTTTTTCTACTAATCATACCCGTTGGCCCATATTTTTAAATAGCCTAACGTTGATATTTGTTAACGTAGAGACTAAGAACTAGAACGAAAAAGAGGAAGCCCTAGTATTTACAAAGAAAAACCAGTCATTTCCAACCCCTCCTTTTTTTTTCCCCTTTTTTTTTTTTTTTGGCATTTCTCATGTGAGGGCATTAAGGAAGGATAACAAGAAAACTTGTTTAGTCTAATAGTATTGAAAATAATAATTATATGCGTGACAAGTCATTATCTACTAATGTGTTTGAGTGTAGTGCGTCTTACACATGTTTAACAACTTACGAAAACTCCAATGTCCTTTGACTAATTTTGTAAACTTATATTCGAAGTAATCAACCAATAAAATAATTAGGTTAACCTTTTTCTACTCTTTAAGTTACTTGTTCTAGACTTTGAAGATTGTAACGAGGACTAACTACACTTATAAAATTAGAGTTTCAAGATTGTTTTTTTTTTTTTTTTTTTTCTTTTTTTGTCAAATTCAAAGGACCAAAAAGGGCCTATCACAAAAGGTAAGGCAGCAGTTGAAGCAGATGCAGCTCGCAGACCCTTTTCAAGAGAAAGTCTAAGCCTATATTCACAGGACCACCTGAACACAAACAACAACAGCAGACATACACTCTACTCTATACTTGAATATAAAAATAAAAATTCCCAACACATTTTTTTTCTTCTTTGTTTGACTATTTTTTACTTTGGTCTCCGTCATTTCGATTTTGACAATTTAATCTTATACTTTTGTTTATACCATAATCAAATTCGAAAAATGTAGAATTGTTAAAAGAAAAGAATATATAGACAAATTGATTACGTTTTGGGTTGAATGCAACGATTTTGGCGATGTATTATCTATCGTATTGAATTTACATGTGATGGTTACATATAGTCGTATCGAATTTACATATATTAATATGATAAAATTTACAATTTGAATTTGATTACAAGACAAATTGAAATATAAAACTCAATTTACCAAAATCAAAATGACAGAACCCAATTTAATAAGTGAGTAAAATTAGGGTGAAAAAATAAGTAACCCAACTTAAAAGGTACCGACCTCTCAAACTCAGATAACAACAAAACGAAGCTAAAACAGAGCACACTGCCCCAACCACTCGCTTCCCCCAGCGCGTTAGATCCGTCTTCCCACTAGTGGCCCACAACCCACGTGGCTGACCAAAGGTAGCGCGTAAGATAACAGTAACAACCAGAAAACTACCTATCCTCCAGACTATCACAGTCATCCCTCGGACAGCTGTAAACGAAAAATGACCACCCAATAGAAAACAAGCCCGTGGAAAAGTATCAAGCTTATTGGACCGTCGGCGTATATAATCACAGCCATTTCCGTTCTTAATTTCTCTTACCTTTCATTTTTAGTGGACTATCCATACTTGAAGCCTACTCTCGAACAAACTCCACACTCAAAATGACTGGTTTAACTAACTAAAACGCCCCTCCACTTCCCTCTTATTTACAACCATGCCATCGCGTCCTCCACCATCTTCCCCACGCATCCACCACGTCCACCACCGCCACCTCCTCCTCCCTCTGCTGACCGTAACCCTAACCCTAGCCTTTATCTCCCTACTCACCTTCCTCATCTTCCTCTACCGCAAGCTCTCCTACAACCGCACGACCCCGTTCGACCACCACAATAGCAGCGCCACCGCCACACCCACCGCCACTCCCACCACCGCCACCAACACCAAGAAGAATAACAACAACCGGTTCTCTTACTCTGCTATCCGGCGAGCCACCGGTTCGTTCTCGGCGTCGAACCGTCTCGGCCATGGCGGGTTTGGGTCGGTCTACAAAGCCACACTCCCCTCCGGCCAATCCCTGGCCGTGAAGCTCATGGACTCCACTGGCTCTCTGCAAGGCGAACGGGAGTTCCACAATGAACTCTCCATAGCTTTGAACCTCACCAATCCTCACATACTCTCTCTCCACGGCTTCTCCACCGACCGACGCGGACGGAAGCTCTTGTTGGTGTACGAGCTCATGCCGAATAGGAGCCTGCAGGAGGCTCTATTAGATCGCAAGTGTCCGGAGCTTATGGTTTGGAAGAAGAGGTTCAGTGTAGTGCTCGATGTGGCTCGTGGGCTCGAATATTTGCACCATGTTTGTGATCCGCCGGTTATTCACGGGGATGTGAAGCCCAGTAATGTGTTGCTGGACTCGGATTTCAACGCCAAGATTGGGGATTTTGGGTTGGCGAGGTTAAAGACGGAGACTGAAGATCAGGGTGAGCTTGGTGGAGTTGTGATGGTGGAGGAAGAGGGGGAGGAGGAGGAGGAGAAAGAGATTGGGGGGAAGGAGAAGAGAGACGGGGACGATAATGGGTCGATTTTGGAAGAGGAGAGTGTCAGTGTTAGTGTGAGTTTGAGTGTTGTGACAACTGGGCTTGAAGATGGTCGATCCCCGGAGTGTTATGCGGTGAGGATTGGGGAATCGGAGCCGGCGGTCGCCTCGCCGGAAGGCGGTTTTGATAAGGTGAGTGTTGAGAGTGAGAGGGATTTGGGTTTTGGGAAGAGGGTTAGGGGAAGTTCAGGCAGGGACTGGTGGTGGAAACAGGACAATGGAAGTGGATTCGGGTCTGAATCTGGGAGAGTCAAGGACTATGTGATGGAGTGGATTGGGAATGAGATTAAGAAGGAGAGGCCTAAAAGTGAGTGGATTGCGTCTCCTAGCTCGAATGGTGTCAATGCCGAGCCGAAGAAGAAGAAGAAGGGATTGGACTGGTGGGCGTCATTGGATGAAGAGAGTGGTAAGAAGAAGAAGGATAAGAATCGGAAGCCGAGGGAGTGGTGGAAGGAGGAGTTTTGTGAGGAGCTCACAAAGAAAAAGAAGAAGAAGAGGGGTCTCGATTCCGCTAGTGGTGGTGGAGAGTTGTGGTGGCAAATGGAAGAGGATTTGGGGCAAGAGAGGAAGAAGAGGAAGAGCAAAAACAAGAGCAGTAGAGGGAGTATTGATTGGTGGTTGGATGGATTGGGTGGTGATATTAGAAGTGGGAGGAGGAATAGCCAAGATTGGGGTAGTACTTGTGGTGGTGATGTTCCAAAGAGTGGTGGTATTAGTAGCACACCAAGCATGAGAGGCACAGTTTGTTATGTTGCCCCTGAATATGGTGGCGGTGGGCAGCTCTCTGAGAAATGTGATGTCTATAGCTTTGGGGTATTGGTTTTGGTCTTGATTTCAGGTCGGAGGCCTCTTCAAGTCACGGCCTCCCCCATGTCAGAATTCGAAAGGGCCAATCTAATTTCATGGGCTAGGCAGCTTGCTCGAAATGGGAAGCTTTTGGATCTTGTCGACCAGTCTATACATTCTTTAGATAAGGAAGAGGCATTGCTTTGTATCACAATTGCATTGCTATGTCTGCAGAGAACACCGGGCAAGCGGCCAACGATGAAGGAGATTGTGGGGATGCTTTTGGGTGAAGCAGAGCCACCCCATTTGCCCTTCGAGTTTTCACCTTCCCCGCCTTCCAATTTTCCGTTCAAGTCCCGGAAAAAGGCCCGGTGAGTTTGTGGGATTTTGTTAACTGTAGAGTGTACTTTTGTAGGTCCTTTCTAATTATCATGTTTTGTAGAAATTCATGCTTTAAAGGAAAGAAAAGTTGCATAATATTCATAAACTCAGGCTCTTTTTTACTTGGCTCTCTTTGGATGTTACTAAGTTTTGCTATAGAAAGAAGGCAACCCAAGTATGTTTTTTTGCTCTGTTGACATTTAGGAATTCCATGATTCATAGTAAAAGTAAATAAATGGAAACATTGCTTTTGCTTTTGAACGTTGAGGCCAGTAGTAGTACTAGTAGGCCATCATAATCAGCAATTTTTCCTCCTGGGACTCAATTGAGCAGAGCTTGCTTTATGTGACTTTTAGGACCTGAAACAGGGCCCGAGATGATGCTTCCCTTTTGAGTTGTCTGCTACCTTTTAAAAGAGGCAGAATTTTGTGCCAAAGTAGCATCAGTTTCAGTAACAAGGGGACAAATCTTGGTCCCATTTACGAAAGCCATTATACTTCTCTGACTCAGTCTGTGTGTGTGTGTGTGTGTGTGTATATATCATTGTATGTGTAATGTTTGAGGCAGGGCAGGGCCATTGAGTTTGGTTAGTTGACCATCTTTTCCTTCACTCTTCTGTTGCTTTTAGATCATGGCAAAAGCTGTTTCGCAAAGCTAGTGATAATTTTTTTAGCCTGGATGGGATGCTGAAGTCTATATAGTTTATGCACATATTCACATCAAAATATGATTTTGTGGTTTCCGAATTTTGGTTCCTGTTGAACGAGAAACACTTGTGTGAAACGTAACTCACTCGCAAATCGCGACATGCCACGCTTCATAACTTTTCCATATTGCAATTTGTGATTGATTTGGGATAGCAAAACAGTGCAACCCGCTTTTGAACTAGTGGCAACAGTGGGTTTTAACTTTCCACATGGCCCCTTGTTTACTTCTGAACAGAATGAGATTCCACTGTGTCAATGACAGCTTTGGTGACGAATACAGCTTAACTTTATGGCATTTCTGTGACTTCTATAGAGAGAGAGAGAGAGAGAGAGACTGAGACTTCAAAAGTTGATTTATGTTGGCACTGGGTTTTATCTACCGAGAAGTTTGAAATGATCACCATTTTTGTGAGCTTGTGTGGAGAGTGGAGACATGGCGTTGGGTCTTGTATCGGGGGATCTTTATGAATTTTGCCCATTGCCTACCGTTTTGTGCAGTTAACAGTTGTGATGCTATAAATTGGAAATTCAACTGTTGTTGTTGCTCCAATTACCCGTTAATATTATTAATGGGAATTTGCATCTTCTCATGCATAGCGGTTGACCCTGCCCTGCCGTTATTATGGTTTCTGTGTAGACACGAGAAAATTCAACCCTTATTTGGCATGTCCAGTTGGAACAAGGTTAGTAGCTGGGTATTAACATGAACAATAAATAGGTCGAATTAGTGTCAAAACACAGAATAACCGGATTTTAACATGATAAATAGACCCGTTTAATTAATATTACATGAAAGGAAATAATGTATTCTTCACATTTCTTATTTAGAATAATGCATGAATCCTTGTAAAATTATATAATTTTTCTTTTTATGATACAAGTGATATCAAGGGAGAGAGAAGCGAATCAAAGATCTCGGGTGCATGAGTTTAGCACTTGAGTTACAAGTCGCTTGGGTAAAATTATAGAATTATTTCCGCTGTGCGCATGTTCCCATTATATTTTGGACTTGGGATGAGGAGGTTCATTATATTTTTGCATCTGATAATGGGTTTTAATTTTCGAGAGCTTCTACAATGAGGAGTTCAGAGTGAGGTGCTTATTTGAAGGGTTCAATACCACCATCAAACCATTTAAAATGTTTAATTTCCTCACATTTGTGGATGGTGGAATTGAACTCCTTAAATAACCTCCTCACTCTAAATTCTTCATTATAGCATTTTCGAAGTCCGCCGGTTGATAGGTAGTATGGTGAGTGGCCGGGTACCCTTGGGCTTCATCCATCTAGTCAAATGTTTCTCAATGGTATTGTTTTGGTAGTCCAAGCCCCGAAACGTAAAGAAGAAGAGAACGCTTAGCTGAGACAAGCCAGGCCTAGCAAGGAGGGCACCAATTTCTCAATCGTTTTTTGGGCTGCATGACAAAAGATAAGATCTCCTATTTGCCAAATCACCTGTTATCATCTGAATTTGGCTAAAGTCCAAATCTGTTGCTTTTACTTCGGTTTTGTACTGGTCTTCTGGGTTTTTTTTAATATTATTTTTTTTATTTTTAAATGCTGTTGACCCATGTCTAAATTTCATTTGGTAACAACTCCAAGTTTGATTTAGTTCTTAATCACTGGTTTTAAGGCTCAATCAATCACTAATTCTTATTTCAAGTTCACTCTCACGTAATAATCTCAATGCTTGCATGATTCTCAGGATCATCCAGTGGTTCTCAATACATCATCCTCCCCAAAACAATGGTTCTCTGATTTTGACCCGGCACACACAGACACTCGTAATTAAATTTAAATCAATGCCTTCTTTTCTGGGTGAGGTATCTAGTTGTATCCGTCTCTGTCAATAATTGAATTTCCTGCAACAAAAATAAGTGCTTCTTCCTTCTGGCGTGCTTTGGTCATAGTCATATCCTTTAATTCCCTCATCTGCCCGCTAACTCCTCCCCCATTTTCTTCCACAGGTAACTCTCTTTCTCACAGACATAAATACAAACACTTCACAGGCATCCACACAGACAGCCATGGCGGATAAGCCTTCACAAACCCCAACATCCAACGACGACCCCTTCAAGCTCCTCAACATCGTCAAAAACCCAGATGGCTCCCTCACCCGCCACCCCCCATTCCCCATGGTCCCCCCATCTCCGACTCCAACTGATTCCATTTCCTCCACCGCCGCAGCCACCGAGTCAAACTCACCCCAACTCGTTCTCTCCAAGGACATCCAAATAAACCCAACAACTAAAAACTCCGTAAGGCTCTTCAAGCCCCACCCTCTTCCCCCAAACTCTAAGCTCCCTCTCATCTTCTACTTCCATGGCGGCGGCTTCATCCTCTTCTCCGTGGCTTTACAACCTTTCCACGACTCCTCCTCTCGCATGGCGCTCTCTCTCCCGGCCCTCGTCGTCTCCGTCGAGTACCGCCTGGCTCCCGAGCACCCTCTCCCCTCCGCCTACGACGACGCCGTTGAGGCCGTCGACTGGGCCCGCAGCCAGGCCTCCAACATCAACGGCTGCGATCCCTGGTTGAAGGACACCGTTGATTTCTCCAAGTGCTTCCTAATGGGCAGCAGCGCTGGGGCTAATATCGTCTACCACGCGGGTCTACGCATCGCGGGCGTTGATCTCTCTCCAGTGAAGATCCGAGGGCTGATATTCAACCAGCCTTATTTCGGTGGGGTCGAGAGGACTCAGTCCGAGTTAAGGCTGATCAACGATCGGATTTTACCGTTGGTTTCTAATGATTTGATGTGGGCCCTGTCATTGCCGAAGGGAGCTGATCGGAATCATGAATATAGCAATCCGACGGTAGGGGGCGGTGATGAGAGGATCGGACGGTTACCAAAGTGTGTAGTGAGAGGGTTCGGTGGGGACCCACTGGTGGATAGGCAGAAGGAGTTTGTGAAGTTGTTGGAGTCACGTGGGGCGCATGTGGTGGGCAAGTTTGAGGAGGATGGTTTTCATGGCGTGGAGCTCTTTGATCCCAGCAAGGCTAAGGCTCTGTACGACATCATTAAGGATTTTATCCAGTCTTGCGGTGCAAACGACAGTAAAGCTGTTGGCGTTTCGAAATCGGCTATCTGAAAGAAGCTGAGTTGGATTTTACATTTTATTATAAATATTTGTATGAATTAATTGGGTGTAATTTATTCCCTTTTGTCTTGTTCTGATACTGTGAATTATATGAGCACTAATTTTTATGTCATAGTTCAAGCATTTTGGGCATGTTATTAGAAATAAAATGGAGTGAATGCAAGATTTCCAAAACTTGAAAGAAAATGGTTGTTAGACCAAGTCCATCCATGAGCCCAGCCCGAGGCTAGGGGAAAAAAAAAAAAAATTGCGTTCCAGCGGAGCAGCCCAGGCCCGGAGGGGGTGTGGGACCCACCAACCCGGGCTGGCCCGAAGGAAAGTTCCGCCCCAGGTCCAAAACGAAGGGGGGTGACGTCAGCCTAACGTCAAGCTGACGCCGACACGCGGATTTCAAATTTTTTTTACCGTTGGCGCTTGCAATGCACTCGCCAAAGATAAAAAAAATTTGAACCAGCGTGCGCTGACGTCAACGCGACTCCAGCCCAACGGCTGGAAGACACGTGGCACATCCCCAGCGCTCCGATTTAATTCCACAGCTTCATCCAACGGCTGGCGATTTTCCAGCAATAAAATTATGAAAAAAAATCGAAATTTTTTAAAAAAAAATACTAAAAAATTCTGATTTTTTTTCCTATAAATACCTATAAATACCATTCACTTTCAACACCAATTCTCATACATTTTATTCTACTTCTACAATTACTCAACATTTTTTTCACTCTTCACTTAACATTTTCTTCACTCTTCACTCAACATTTTCATCTCTTTCACCTTATAATTTTATTTCTTATTTTTATGGCTTCTTCTATTGAAACCGGAGGGGCGTGGAGCACCATGGAAGATGTTTCTTTGTGTGAGGCTTGGCTCCGAGTTTGTCATTGTCCC